ATATAAAGTGTTATAAAGAGATATACATTAAATATAAAGTGTTATTAGGAAACATATATTAAATATAAAGTGTTATGAGACAAACATTAAATATGAAGTGTTATAAAGAGCCATATATTAAATAAACACAAACTTTTTGTGAACATACCGCCTCATAACTGTCCCGGTTCTCCTTCAGGAACTGCACACATTTGGACCGGACCTCAGTATGGAGACTCTGGCAGTGCAGCACCTGAACAGGGTCAAAGGTCAACATTAAGACGAGCCCAGGGTCTGTTTATATCAGCCTCTCCTCACTCAAACTGCAGCTTTAACTCCATGTCGGATCATAAAACCGACGTGTTGGTTGAAACACTTGGACAAGTTGGCGTCGCGCGCAGTGACACAACAAACAGAAGCTCACCTGACTGCACGCGGAGCTAACAGACAGAAAACAACTTTTTGTTTATTTTTCTACCTCACCTGCTCGGCCACGGCCCGGAACAAACACGACCCGTCCTTGGCGATCTTTTTCCTGTGTAGACCGATGGATTTCAGGTAGTTATCCATGGCTCTCTCCACGCTCCTCTCCTCGTTGCTCTGCATGTTTCCGCCGCTGTCCATGCTAGCGGGGGGCTAGCCGCCGAAGCTAGCTGATGATACGACGTTTTGGACGCGCAGCGGGGAGAAATCAAAACTTTTACACAAACTGATAATATGTCCGCTGAATATGACTAAAAACACACATCTGAGAGCTAAATACCGTCATACACGAGCGCGACCACTTCTGGTTTCGTTTCCAGGGAAGTCCTGCTCGTCCCAGAGCGGATCCTCCTGACGGGCAGAAAGTGAAACTTTAGCTGGCAGTTAGCACACTGGGCTAACACAGCTAGCAACACGCCCCCTTCTAGCGGAAGATGTCAAGTTTCACACAGTACGACACGACACTTCCGGATAGTTTCAAAATAAACTCCAACAACTATTTAATTATTATTTTTGATCATGTCATTAAATGCTGGCTCTTGGTTGTATTTTTTACATTTATTTTTGACATTACTATTTTCCTGTTTATTTTGTTTTTATTTGTAAAAAATTAAAATCATTGTGATGCATTGTTTAACCAATAAAACAATGTGAATATTAACTCAGTTTAACAAACTGTTTAAAAGCTGAGAGAGAGAATTGTTATAAGTTACAGGACAAACACAAAAACATTTTGTTTTCTACCAGTTTTTGTTGTTAAATTAAACTTCCGGTAGCTTTTGTTTTCAGAATAAAAGTCGCGCCTGTCTCGTGGTGTATTCTACCAAAACAAAAGTCCAAAAAACTTGGGAAATGTTAAAAAATCAACCTTGCAAAGTCTTGTTATAAAAAATGAAATCCTACTTATTTCATATTTTTTTGTTGTACATTTATCATGAATGTTCCTTTGTAAGCTTGTTGTAAAAATGAAAATTTTAATCATAACTATGGATAAAGCCTAAACATTTTATGCTCCTAAAATGTATGCACCGTCAGCTCCGCCCTGTACTTTGATAGAGAAAAAGATTCAGTATTAAATTAGTTTTCTTTTCTTCTATAAGCTGATTTATAAACAATACATTTCAAATAAAGTATGATTTTATTGCACTCATTGTGAAGATTCAGGTAAAACAAAAGTCCCTGCTCTTTCAAAATAATAGGTGTGTCTACAAGTTTAGTGTGAGCTTCTTGCAAAATTTCTCAAAACAAAACTTAACTTCAGTGATCAGGTAACTGCAGAACGATTAGACACAACGCTCAGGTGGATTTTATTTTGAAGCTTTGTTTAGATGATTTGTTTATGTCTAAAGACAAGTCCTGACTGCAAAATTCATATCAAGACTAAAAGTGGCATCTAGTGGCAAAACTTTAAAGTGAAACAGAACATTTTCTGTTTAAGAGTTTTTGGGACACCAATATTTTTGGATTGGCGCACCCTGCTGAAAACAAATCAACAAATCTGTTTATAACCATGATACAGAGAACATTATTTCTAATTTTAATACAATTTATTTAATAGAAAATCCAAATAAGTCATTTCAGATATAATTTTCAAAAAAACTTAATGAAAATATTAATTTTATTTCATTTATCTCAAAGGAAACACTTAAAGATCCCAATAAAATCATAATATTAAGATTAAATAAGAAGTGAACACCACTAGACTGTGCAGCTGGAGATAATTCAGATAATTTCACGTACTGCTGGATTATTTAATCTATAATTTACAGGGCCTGCAGAGGGACTAACAGGGATAAACTTTGAGCTGCACAGTAATGCAAACCTAAAAAACCTTTTTAGACTCGGACTAACTGAGACCTTGGTGAAGTTCATCCCTGCTTGTAGGATCTGGGTTTATTGAGACCTCGGACCCGTGAGTCCTGATTTAGTCCTGGGATTTAAATCCTATGTTTCAGTCTGCCAAAGGACTTGTAATCTGAGTTAATTGAGACCTCAGACTTGTGAGTTCTGATTCAGTCTGAGGATTCATGTCCTGTGTGTCGGTCTGTCAGAGTACTCATAGGATCCATGATGAGACATCAGAGTCTTGATTCCTGATTCACATGTCAGTCTTCCAGAGGACTCGTAGAATCAGAGTTAATTGAGACCTCAGACTCTGAGTCCTGATTCAGTCTGAGGATACAAATCTTACTATATCTGCCAGTGGACTCTGGAATCTTGAGACCTCAGACTCACGAGTCCTGATTCAGTGTGAAGATTCAGGTCCTTTGTGACAGTCTAATAGAATCGTAGAATCTGGGTTGAGACCTCAGACTTGTGAGTCCTGATGGAGTCTGAGGATTCAGGTTCTATGTTTCAGTCTGCCAGAGGACTCATAGGATTACAGGATAAGACCTCAGATTTATGAGTCCTGACTCAGTCTGGGGATTTAAATCCTGTGTTTCAGTCTGCCAGAGGACTAGAAGGATCCAAGTTGAGACTTCAAACTCGTGAGTCCTGATTCAGTGTGAAGATTCGGATCATACATTTTGGTCTGCCAGAGCAGTGTTTCCCAAAGTTGGGGTCGGGACCCAAAGTGGGGTCCTGAAACATCAAGGTGGGGTCCTGAAAACATTTTCAGAATTAATTACATTTTTGTCTTAGTTGTTACAAAGGAGTGAGGTTAGTGTATTTAAATGTAGTATAAAAATATTGTTACTATGCCCATGTTTTATTGACCTGACACAAATGTTTATCATCCAAAAATAGTTGGGGCCACAGGTCTCTGCTGCTGTTATTTTGTGGGTCAAAACCTGAAAAGTTTGGGAACCACTGCACTTTGGTTCCYAAAGTTGGGCTTGGGACCCAATTATGGGTCATGAAGCACCTTGGATAATCTCCAGAAATCAATTTAAAGGGTAATAAAATAATTGCTGATGTAATATTTTCCATATAATTATTACAGAAACACAAACACGTATAAATAAGTATTTATATTTGTGTACAAGCTGTTTAGATTGTCAAAAAGCCTGTGTTTTTAGGGTTATTAACAAAGTTTATGTACTCAGACCAGTAATATTTGGGGTCTCAAGTTTTTGCCGTGGATATTTTGTGGGTCAGAAGATAAAAAGTTTGGGAACCTCTGTGCCAGAGAACTCAGAGCAAACAGGATAAGACCTCAGATTTATGAGTCCTGATTGAGTCTGGGGATTTAAATCCTATGTTTCAGTCTGGCAGAGGACTCATAGGATCCAAGTTGAGTCTTCAAACTCGTGAGTCCTGATTCAGTGGGAGGATTTGGATCAAACGTGTTGGTCTACCAGAGGACTCATAGGATCCAGGATCAGACATCAGGGTCATGACTCCTGGTTCAGATCCTACATGTCATTCTGCCAGAGGACTCATAGATCCGGGTTAATTGAGATCTTGGACTTGTGAGTCCTGATTCAGTGTGAGGACTCGGATCAGGTGAGTCTTCTCTGGTTTGAATGAAGCGTCTCACTGAGCTCTGTCTTTTGGTGGCTCAGGATCTGAACCTGTCGGCCATCTTGGCCTGTTTTTATTTCTCCGCCTTCATCTCAGATAATTCTCCTCTTCCTCCCGATGCCGTTTACTCAGATCTAATAATGACCTTTGTCATGGTGGCCTCCGCCCGACGATTCGCAGAGTCCAGAGCTGCTCCGGCTCGCGGCGGCAGGGCTCTACAACATGACAGGTAGCCATGGCAACGAGCGAGGAGGGCACAGCAACCCGTGGCGGCTGACACTCATCCTCCCACTCGTGTGGTGCGTGACCTTCATCCCCCGGCTCCTCTCTGCGCATCCGTCACACGTCTCCCAGAAGAAGGCCGTCTTACGAAACCAGGGCAGGAGCGAGCAGGTTGGACTCCTCTGAACGCCCACACGCCACAGAGAACAGAAGGCACGGGAGCAGAGAGGAGTCAGATGAAATTAAACTTTATTGATCATCGCAGCAGCAAACAGTTACAGGATACAGCTGAGAGGAACCGGGAAGAAAAGCCCTACGAGGAGACATGAAGGGGGGGCATCAAAAGGCAGGGAGAGTTTTAGTATTTCATGCTTCTCCATTAAAAGAAAGTGTTAAAAAGGAAACGTGCAGGCAGAACTCCGCTCTCGAGCACCGTTGATTGAAATGCACACTAAAAGCACACGTGCGCAGGACGTCCTCGCGGCCGCGACATTAAAGGGGGTGACTCGTTAAGTCGTCGTCGCTGAACCGCTTCCCCTCCCGCAGGCGTTTTGATTATCACACTTAATGACACACATTACCTCTACGGTGCAACCAGAAACATGAGTAATAAAAAAACAAATCAAAGTCAGAGCGCACCTCATAAGTCTGCAACAAACCACAACATAAACCAAATAAAAGGTTTTAATTTTCTCAAACACGCAGCTGCAGTTTGGCTTTACGGAGCTGCTGAGCCCAAGCAGGAAGCTCACTTTATCTCAGCAGAGAGTCGAGTTTATGACTCCAGGAAGGAAGTCGTTGCTTAAAGGTTAGAGGAAAAAAACAACAGAAATATTAAAACAGTGTGTGAAATATCAACAAAAACAGAATGCAACAAATCTTTAACAAACCTGACAAGTTGTAACATTAGACATTATTGTATGAATATTTTATTCATTAATAAAATCAAGACTGTAAAAAAAACACTGTAGGCTGTGAGAGGACAATGTATGATTC